GGCTCACTCACCAGCTGGGTGAGGAAATTATCCTCCACACATTCCAGGAACCTCCTGGACTGTTCCCTCTCTGCTCTGTTGTGATTCCAGCAGATACTCGGGAGGTTAAAGTCCCCCGCAAGAACAACGGCAAGTGACTGTGAGATTTCTCCCAACTGTTTGTAGAAAGCTTCATCCACCTCACCGCTTTGGTTGGGGAGTCTATAGCAGACTCCCACAGCAAGACCTGCGTTATTGGCCCTTAACCTAATCCAAACACTCTCAACCCCGTTATCACTGTACTTGATTTCTGACCTGTCATAGCATTGTCTTACATACAGGGCCACTCGACCGCTTCTCCTTCCTTGTCTGTCCCTCCTGAAGAGCTTATAGCCATCGATTGCAGAACTCCAGCTGTGTGAGGCATCCCACCACGTTTCTGTGACAGCTGCTGTGTCAGAGTTCTCGTGCTGCATCCTGGCCTCAAGCTCCCCCTGGTTGTTGCTCACACTGCGTGCATTGGTACAGATGCACTTGAGATGAGCTCATGAATCTTTTTTGTGAGTGTGGGCCCCAGTCCCTACCAGACCCTTCTCAGGTGCTTCCACGGTTCCTAAACATCTATCCCTTCTTTCAAATGAACTGTCAGAGGAAGAGCCCTCACCAGTCCACCATCCTTCAAGCCCTGACATGCTTCCCTTGAGCTTGTTCCTAACAGGCCCAGTTATCTCCCTGCCCCCCCTCATATCTAGTTTAAAGCCCTGTCAATAAGCCCTGCTAACTCCTGCCCCAGAATCCTTTCACCCCTCTGGGACAGCTGCATCACACCTGTCTCATTTGTCACCAGCAGACCAGTTGCCTTATAAACTTTGCCATGATCAAAGAACCCAAAATTCTGACAGTGGCACCAGTCTCTGAGCCACGTGTTAATCAGATGTGTTTTCCCCCTCTTTCAGTGGTTTTCCCTTGCACTTGAGTGATTGATGAAAACACAACCTGAGCTCCCAAGCCTTCAATTAGCCACCCTACAAAGGGGGGTGCTCTTATTCAATAAAGTATGAAATCACACAGTAAGACTCTGATATCTGTAAGATGATACTGCTGTATCTTTTCAAATTCAAATCACAGGGTTAAACATGAATAGTTACCTAGTTTACTCAGTGACTGATGGAAATTTACATTATTTGCTAGAAAATTTGAAGAATAAAGTTTAAAATATCATAACCAAAAAACTCTTGGTCTAAACAACTCACAGTGTATGGATATATCTTAATAAAAGCACTCTTTTATCAAGATCCTCGTAGTCACTGGCTAGTGAATGCCATGTCTTGTAATGAACTTGACTGCTATTTTGTTACTTTAAATGATGCACATGAGAGGATGACTATCAACTGGAAGCTGTGAGGTTCCATCTTTTACATTGTTGGGTTTTGGGTTTTTTTTAAAGTATCAATTTGTGGCTGTACTGCTAGGCAGAAATGCATTGATCAGAACTTAAGAGAAACATGCAAGCTCTATAATGGAAAGTACTTCTACCTGTTATGAAAGAATACTGTTATTGAGGGCTTTGCAGTGTTCTGGCTCTTGAAAAGAGCTTTTCCCATGAGGCTGTTGAAACCTCACAGATAAAATAAGCCACATATTCAGGTAATTTGAATAATTAAAACTGAATGTTTGGACAAGAATGTGGAAGAGTCCTCTGAAAACTGATGTCAAGTAACTACAAAATTCCCACATGCATAATGCACCTAAACAGGAAGGATACCTTCTCAATGAGCTCAATGCAGGCAGCCAGGTCCATCCCAAAGTCAATGAATGTCCATTCAATTCCCTCCTTCTTGTACTCCTCCTGCTCCAGCACGAACATGTGGTGGTTGAAGAACTGCTGCAGTTTCTCATTGGTGAAGTTGATGCACAGCTGCTCCAGGCTATTGAACTGCAAAACACATATGGATGCAAGTGTTTTTGAACCATGTTGCTCTGTCTATAAAACAGTGAGATTTACTCCATTATTTTCCAGCTCAGACTAGATCTATGGTTAGATCAGATCATAATTTTCCTGTAGCACTCTTCAACGGCATCTTTCCTGTAACAAGCATATACCAGACACAGTTGAACAGCCTGATCTGTGATTTACTTAACAACTATATCTAGTGGAAAGAGCCAATGGCAGGGCAAATGTCCTTTTCCTAACACTGACTAGGATTATTTCATATAATAAGTGCCTGTGGTCCAGAGAACTCTGTAATTGCATGTCATGAATCTGAAGACTTAGCACTGCAGCTCTCTTCTCTCATGTCATCACTCTGCTCTTGTCATGCAACAATAGTATCATATGTTGAAAGAGGAGAAACTTGAGAAATTTATATTCACGAGCTTCCACAATGAAAACTACACTATACTAAGTGCTGCGTGCTTCTAAATAACACCTTTGTCTTCATATTAAAGAAAGAAGGATATCAAATTCAGTGCTTTCAAAGGATTTTCTGGTATTCTTTGCAAAAAATATTACTAATTTGTACAGAGTTATAAAACACATTCAGGGAAAAAATTAAAAGTTTAGTCCCTAGGCATGTTACAACACTTCTTTCTGATTAATTTTTAATGTTTCACTTATTCCATTCAAAATTTTCTCTTTTTCATATCAAATCCTTGGTTTTTCACTGCATCCTGTAACCCGTAATTTTTGGTGCCCTAATACCTTAAAACTGACATTGCAAAAAGCCTGTGTTCCTTTGCCACCATTTTCAGACTATAATAGCCCACTTGACAGTTCTTTAACACCCGCTTTCTATGCCTTAGAAGAATTTTTATACTTCTGGAGAGTGTTATTACTGAGTTGTTCTTCATGTAGATCCATATCCATTCTATGACCAGATGCTTCTGAGTTCCTATCAGTGCATAATCATTTTTTCAACTACCATATAAAATAAAACAACATATTTCTATGAGTTTCCTTAATTGTTGGATGTCTCTTCTAATAAGCATTTAACAAACTGTTTTCCTTACATCAAAGATCTCAAAGCCAGCAATGTCCAGGACACCAATGAAGTACTGTCTGGGCTGCTTCGTATCCAGCTGTTGATTAATACGAACAACCATCCATAAGAACATCCTCTCATAGACAGTCTTTGCCAAAGCACCCACTGAATTGTGCACCTATACCAGGAGGAAGGAAAGAAAGTTACCATGTGGATTTGAAGAGAATGCTTATGATGTTAATTCAAGCCAGAGGCTCCCAGTCACCAGCTGGTTGTTACCTGCTGCACGGTTTGACCCTTGGTCACATATTCATTCCCAACCTTGACTCGGGGGTAGCACAGTGCCTTGAGCAGGTCTGCTGAGTTCAGACCCATCAGATAGGCAGCCTTGTCAGCAACTGATAACAGAAAGAGAGAGTAAATTATTGAATGATGCACAGGTTTTGATAAAATTATTTCAAAACAAAATATTCCCTGAAGGCTAGTTTATGAGTATCATAGAACCATAGAATATACTGATTTAAAAAGGACCCACAAGGATCGAGTCCAACTCCTGCCTCCACACAGGGCAACCTAGAAGTTAAACAATATATCTAAAAGTTAAAGCATATATCGGACAGCATTGTCCAAATGCTTCTTGAATGCTGATAGGCTTGGGGTCATGATCATTTCCCTGGGGAGGTTGTTTTGGTGCTTGATCACCCTCTCAGTGAAGAACTTTTTCTTAATATTCAATCTGAACTTCCCCTGACACAGCATTAAGCCATTCCCTCACATCCTATCACCATACGCCAGAGTGAAGAGATCAGCACCTCACTCTCCACTCCCCCTCATCAGGAAGTTGTAGACAAAAAATGAGGTCACCCCTCAGTCTCTTCTCCAAGCTAAACAAACCTAGTATCCTCAGCTATTCCTCATATGTCATGCCCTGTAGTCCTTTCACCATGTTTTATGCCCTCCTTTGGACACATTTAATTATATTTGCAACCTTTTTATATTGTGGAGCCCACATAGTAATCAAGGCGATGCTGTATCAGTGCTGAGTATACTGGCACAAAATCTTCTTTTGAGCGGTTAGCTATACTGTGCTTAATGTACCCCAGAATATTGTTGGCCCTTTTGGACAACAGGATGTCTTGTTAACTCATTAACCAAGACCTCCAAATCCCTTTCTGCAGGGCTCCACTCTGGCCTACTGTCCCCCAGTCGAGGATTACACTGTCCCATGTGCAAAATCCAGCATCTGTCCTTCTTAAATTTGACGTGTTTGATGATTGCCCAGCACTTTAATCTATTAAGATTTCTCTGTAAGGCCTCTCTACACTCAAGGTAATCAGTGGTTCCTCCTAATTTAGTATCGGTTGCAAACCTAACTTAGTGTGCACTTAAGTCATGTTTCCAGGTCATTAATAAAAACACTGATGAGAATTGGACCTAGAACTGAGCCATGGGGAACATCACTAGTGACTGGCCACCAGCCAGACATTAACACTTTTACTACAAATAACTCTTGTCTGAAGAACAGAGAGATCAGTGGAAATTATCCTAATACCTTCTGTGCCGTCTGGCTCTGCCTGCTCTTCACGCTGCTTCTGCTTGAACTTCAGATTCCCGTAGTGCATGACAGCCCCCGTCAGCTTGTAAATGGCTATTTTCTCATCAGCAGTGAAGCCCAGGATGTCAATGGCACTCTGGCAACAGAATCAGTGAAATAAGCCTCTGGGCCATTAAATGGAACTTTCACCATACCAATATGCTCTGTGTCACTTACATCTGTAGCCATCAGCTCCTCCTGGTCATCAATGCTGGGAACCGTGACCTCACCTTGACTCACAAATTGGTAGTCATATGGGTTGGTGGTAATGAGGAGCATGTCTGTAAAGAAGAATAGGACATATCTGGGCATAAGAATAAAGATAAATGTTAAACATGTTCAGATTCCATCAAAGAATTTATAATACTTCCTACCAATTAGCTCTGGCTTCTTGTTGGACATGATCTGATAAAATATGTGGTAACTTCTTTCTGCCTTGAGCTGGAAAGTGACTCTGGACTTCTCCAGCAGATCTGGCAAGGCGGGTAGAAAGAGTTAAGCCTGAGAAAGTACACTGAGGTGGAAAGGGAGGAAAGAATGTGTTCAGGTCAGGAGGTCTCTTACATGTTTCAATGTCAGCAGAAGCCAGTTTGCCCGTGGCCCCAAAGTGGATTCGAATGAATTTACCCTTTAGAGGGGAAAGAAAAAAGACATTTTGAAATTTCACTAAGAATGTCAGTATTTAACCACAGAGGACAGGTTTCCACAGAGGACAGGATTTAAACTTCAAAGTTGTTTCAAATGTTTTTCTTATTTTTCTTTAAAAAGGCAAGAAAAAATTTCAGGAAACGACACTGGCAATACTAAG